TGCTTATCTCTGGATAAGCCCTCTCCACGTCACGAATAATAATACAGCAAATTAGCTTATAGAATCAAATGTAATTCTGATTGCTAAAATTATGTAAATAAAAAAAAATGTTGTGAGGTTACAGATTGGATTCATCTGGCTCAGGACAGAGGCTACTGGTGGGCTCGTGTAAAGATGGCAATAAGCCTTAGCGTTTTCTAAAAGAAGGTTAATTTCTTCATTAGCTGAGTGATAATATTTTTTTTTCAGGGACAGTTACACAAGATAAATGTAAAACGTGAACTAACCCTGTAACAGGCTGTGGAGACCCGTAGGATTGTGAGACGTCGTGGCTCTCACATTTTCTTGACAGTCGGCTAACAGATGGCGATAAGGCAGTCAGCCTTACGTGCCAGCCGCCCTTTACCCCCCAGGAAGATTCCTGGCACTCATTTCTGTTAGAGGCTGAGTGAACTCCCAGGGTCATAGTGTGACTGGAAGGATTAGGCCAATTCAAAAATCCAGTAACCTCATCGGGAATCGAAACCGTCACCTTCCGGCTTGTAGCATAGTGCCTCAACTAACTTTTCTACCGCGTGGCCCGCTACACAGGATGTAGGAGCTAAATTTCAATGCGTGAAGCTCATAATCTTCTGGAACCTGACGTCGTTTTAACTGGTAGACGTTTACGAATGGTTAAGGGGAATGTGCTGCTTCCACCTTCAGGATATGAAAGTGAATTTTAAATATCACTTAGACGAACTTCAGGCTTCTAAGTGGCATCTGCCCAACTCCGACGATTTTCAAGTATTCGCCTTCCAAGAAATTGCCTCCGTGTTCTGCTTCCAGTCTCACAAAGTGACAGTACAATGAGATATTACACAATTATAAGACACTAGCGTGCCTGACAGCTTTTATGTGGCAGCTATTGATTTCGACAGCGAATTTCATGCATAGATACAGTACATAGTACACTGTACGCAGTGATAAGGCAGATGTAACAAAGGGTTGTGTACAGTGTATCGTGATATACGATACCATTACACATAATTCTGTTTGTCCCATATTAATATATACCAGCGATACTTATGTTATAAACTTCAAAATAATAAAGGAGACCCAAAACATTAACATAGATGTACCTAATGTGGAAAACTGTAATAAGAGAACTGCTGCGTTATGTTAAGTGTAATACTAATTTCATGGAACAGAGTCTTGCCTGGGAATCTGATACTTAAACAAGATTTTTCTCTCTTTCTATGGAACCAGATGCTTCATTGCCTCGTTCGCAAGAGCCTGACACCGACCCCTGCCCTCAGTCGATTAATCCAGTCAGCACTCACGCACCAAGTTTCTTTAAGTTTCGTCTTAATATCTTGTCGATAGACCAATATGCTCCTAATTCTCCCAGTTCAGAACTTATTTCAGGCTCTCCACTCAAAACATTTTACGAATTTCTTATGCATGTAACAGGAGCCACGATAGCTAAGTTGGTATAGCTCCAGGCTAAGTGGCTGAACGCAGGAATCCGGGGGTTTGTTCCCGACAGAAGGGAGACATTTTTGGGATATTGGGTTTTCGGACTTTATCCATCGTCCTGGTTTTTAAGATAACTAAGAAAAACACGACCTTTCGGAAACTGGATCTGTTTCCGTCCTCANTTCAGATGAGGGAAGACACCTATTTTGTTGGGTCCCTTAGAAAGCTAACCTCAATCACTGGACCAGTGGCTCTTTCTAAGGGACCCAACAGAATAGGTGTTTTCCCTCACCTGAGGACGGAAACAGATCCAGTTTCCGAAACGTCGTATTTTTCTTAGTTATCTTAAAAACCAGGACGATGGATAAAGTCCGAAAACCCAATATCTCTGTCTGTTATACCATCGTCAGAATCCTATAGTAACTAAAGACATTTTTGTCTTCTCCAAAACGTTCACATTGGCTCAAGGGCTGGCCCAGTTTATCCAATGGATTCCGGGGGCTCCTTCCATGACGATAAAGCGGCCGGGCGTGAAGCTGGCCACTACCTTCCTCTTGGGACAGAGGATGAGAATGAGTGGACCTATACATCTATAATGCGTGGTAAGCATGAGCCGACCGTCCCGCCCGCCTTGAATTGGTGATGAGTGCTCCTGCACTTCTGTGAGTTGTGTAATTGTGTGACTCCCTGACTCTTGACGTTACTCAATCTCTCCTGGGCCCAGGTATTGGGGAATTAAGCTCTTCAAAACATTACAACATTATGTTTGCGATGATACAGACCGTATAAGGTAAAAAAGGTAACGTTTTGCCTGTGCTTAACTACTTCATGCGGCTGTATAGATCCAAGTTTTCTTGACCTCGGCACTAGTTGGAGCTGATCTGTCAGTTTGACGCTCAGGCTGCTTTACTACCGGAGAAAGGGCCCCCGGTACTCATTTGACAGGAGGCTGGGTGGGACCCAGAGCCGAACTGAACGCTGCGGAGAAAATGATAGATCCTACAGCGACCTGAACTGCGACTTTCTATTGTCCAGCCAATGTCTACACCGACTGTGCGGGTCCTATTCTTATTATAATGTCTAACGGCATAAAGAACATGTAAAAATAATTACCTGCGGTGGGAACGGTCTTAGACTTACTGAGCCTTCTCTTTAATGTATTCCATTGTCGTGTACGTACTGCAGATTTCTACATGTTACGTCTTCAACAAACCGACCTAAAAGCTGCACGATAATGCTGACTTGTTCCATTTTCCACGCTACCATCACCTTAATTATGGTGGACTAGAGATGAAGTCAGGCTTATATAAAGTGACTCGCATTCTCCCTCTCCTACGCAGCCTCCTGACTGTTGAGATTTACGAGAATATTTATGAAAAAAATCTGACTAAATTTCAGACACGTAAAATGAAACAATGCAAACTTTAATTTACGGCTTGTCGGTTATAGTGCAGTACAGCGTTAACAACTTAATTCCATGTGCGTGTCATCCTTATCCTGGTCACCCGGAGCTGCAGCATTCTACTAAAGACCGGTACTGGATTCTCGTGAACGCCGTTAACAGCCTTCGAATTTCATAAAATTAATTGCCTTTTTTTATAAATGAGCAATTATTACTCGTTCGCTCATTTCCATCTCTAATGTAGCATAATATCTCTTTATTTTAAAATGTTAGTAAAATTACATTTTATTGCAACATATTTCGGTCTTACAAGACCATCTTCTTGCAACTGTTCACTCATTGAAACAGCCGCACTCTTCGCATGTCTGTGCACCCTGTGTTACTGCACATCCTCTTCGCACTGAAATGTGTATACACGGCCGGCCAACTAGTGAGAACACCGGGAAATGAAAGCAACGCAAAGCGAAGAGAGTATTCATTCCAACTGGACACATTTTAGTGCGAACAAGGGTGCGCAATAACATGGGGTGCACAGACATGGAAACTAATGCAGTGCGGCTGTTTCAAATAGTGAACAATTGTAAGGCTGAAACATGTTGAAATTAAATGTGATTTTAATGACATTTTAAAATAAATGAGATATTGTGTTGCATTAGAGACGGAAATGAATGAACGCGTGACATATCAATGCAAAAGAATGCTGAAGTATAATATTTTGAGCAACTACTAGCTTGGCGGGAGTAACTGTGACTTTCTTAGGTCGCATGTTGCAGGTAGTAACGACGCCATCCTCCATGAGGTTGGCCGAACTACGGCTGTGTCTTTGGTGGGGACTCATCATGGACCAGGGATGCGTTGGGCCACAGCTTTGGGACACCTCCTCGTGGTCCCGCTGGGCAACGACAGTCTCGGGGTCTGGACTAGTATGACTAGCGGCTAAGCTCCCATAAAGGGCAATGGCATTACGACCGGAGCCTCCCACGCGGCGGCATAATGACCCTTGGGTATCACTACTGTGTACCCGGGACGAATGCGGGAGAGCACTCCAATGGGGGCAGCTTCGGCTACTTGAGCTGTCTCCCTACAGTACCGATAATGTGCCGCAAGCCTTCGAGCTCAACACTCTAGAACGGTTTGACCAACCCATGTGGGGGGGGGGGAATGGGGGAGCTCATAGGCCACCCCCAGGGACGACTCTCTCATGCAGGTTTCCCTGGTCGCAACCTCATGACTGTTAGTTCCCCGAAACTCTAGCCGTGGTACAGGGGTCGTACCATCTCTCGCGGAGCTGGGGGGCAGTCTTATCAGCTTACGTCAGCGTGGGTACTACCAGTTTGGAATGCAGCATTACAGAGTGTGGTCAGGTGTATAGTACATTGTGTTGCCTGTTAGTTGGTCTTTGTAGGCAAAGTTTTCCGCTCGGGGAGTAGCTCTGAACGTCACCACAGCAAGCGTATAGCATCGTGTGCTCCACACCAGCGTTTACCTTTCCGCGTGACTAAAGTTACGAGGCACTCACTATAGCCGGTATCGCACTCCCTTTAATCATCTGGGATACCCTTCTCCTCCCGAACAGGCACTCTTGGTCCTGGAGGCTTGTGAGGGTTTCATTTACTACAGGACCAAACCACCTAAGCCATGGTGTGAGGCATCGTGCTGAGGGCCGCATGGCACGGGGGTGGTAATTAGCCAGTGTCTTGAACGATTCCGTCGGGGCACCAGGCAGCACCCCGTTGTATTTATGCCTTCCACCCGTACAGGGCGCTGCAGGTGATGACCTTTTAAATCCCCATGACTCGTGGGACCAAAATGAAAGGAACCAAAAAAGAAAACTGTCGTAAGGAACTTAAACTGAAGAGGGACCCCCTCCAAGGGAATCCCTACGATCCCCATCATTGTACCGGGCTGTACTTCAATACTTACCCAACCTTACATCAAACAACCCCCTCCAGGACTTTTCACCCGCTTTGAATTAACTTAACTCAGCACTTTCATGGAGCTAGCCGAAACCGGATGTCCGTAGCGAATGCTATCACCTATATACGAGTGAGCAGAAGATAGGGGAGTGGAGGACGAGCCATATGCCTTCTCTCCGCCCCTTGCGCACTTCATTAAACTCTATAAGAAGGAATTCACTTACCTGCTCTGACCTGAACGTCCAGCGACAACACACGGCCCGCTGAGTTGCTGGCGGCACAGCGATATGTGGCACTGTGCACATCCGGTCGGAAATGGTCCTCAGGAAACGGAGGGAAGACGAGACTCCCGTTGACCATAACGACGCGAGCTCCCGGCACTGGACCAACCGGTGAACCGTCGCTACTCAGAACCCACTCAACTCTAGGATCTGGGGAGCCCTCGGCAACGCAGTCAGCCCTCCCACCACTTGAGTTTGAGAACACGAGCTGCGAGGGGGGCTCCAGAATGAAGCGGGGTCCTCGCACGTCGGCCAGATAGCCAGATGTTCCTAGGAAACCAGAGGGCCACTTATCAGATTCCAATTAGCATACATCTCTGGAAGTGCTCTTTCTCACAGCACTGCATCCTGCTAATTGTCTTATACTGAAATCAATACCCAGTCATTCTAATTCCAGACATACCCACAAAACGAAACTTGTCACTTCATGATTTTCCAAATGTTCTTCTGCACATTAGCAGTATGGTCACGGTAGCCGAGCGCTTTAAGGCATGCAATGTCTTAGCTCGCTCGGTAGCCGGAATCGTGGGTTCGAAGTCCACTAAGGGCATGGATGTTCAGTGTTTGTGTGCAGGTAGAGGCCTTGCGACGAGCTGATCACCCGCCCAAGGAGTCCTACTGAATACGTAAGATTTAGTAAACCGAAGTGAAACGTAGAGTTTCATGGAGGTAGGCCAAGGCCCAAATTGGGGCTGTAGCACCAAAAGAGGAAAAAAGTTGTTCCCGTGCTTAGTTAACTAATCACTACGATATGAAACTATATGGGGGAGTAGATGTATAGATCCACGTATTCTTGACCTCGGCCGCTTTACCCACCGGGAAATACCCCTCCGGTAACATTGGCTAGGAGGCTGGATGGGGCCCACAACCGGTCTGGACGACGTTGATGAAAAAAAAAATATTACCCATACCGGGACTCGAATTCCGACTACTCGGCCGACCAGCCCGTATCCAGTCGCTATACCGACTGAGCAACACCGGCTCTTACTATCTTGATAATATGAATAGCAAATTTCGTATCTGAAATTACGATCTACTAGGTAGATGGGTTCGGTTGTCTGGTAGATCCTAATGTTTCGGAGGTATTTGCTGCAGGTTTCTTCGAAACCTCGTTACCCTTCTATCAGTCTACACGGTGTCACATCCCATGAAATCGTAATTTCAATGGCATAAGAAAAATGTTACCATGTGCACAAGTGGGATGTACAGGTAAACTGTAGCCCGTACTTCTGCAGGTGATACCGGAAGTGCTTCGTCACCACTATTTCTGTTTGTATTGACTTAGAACATGCAATCCTGAACTTCCAAGAACCTGCTGTCCTGAATTAGGGGCATCTTCATCTCCATAAGGAATGGGAGGATGAGCAGTGAGCATTGAAGGAAACGGGAGTGCCTTATATTTGAGGTACTAACTTCACTGAGGTGAGCCCTTCTTCAGAAGCCGCCAGTTGTGCAGCTACTCAAGAACTTCCTAGCAGTTTATGTAACCTGAAAGTTCATTACCGTGTTCACAAGAACCCTCCACTAGTTCCTATCATGAGCCAGATCAATCCAGTCTATTCCACTCCATCCCTCCATCCTATCTCTCTAAAATCCATTTTAACATTATCCACCCTCCTACGTATTGGTGCCACCTCTGTTCCATCTGACCTCTTATATTCCCACTAAATGTAACCTATATTCTGATATTTCTTTCACAACTGTCATGAGCAAACCTGCCGTATACAGATTTCTTACATTCCAAGCACCATATCTGATGTCCATTTTCTTAGTTTAGGTTGTTTATCCAAAAAAGAAATCCGTCCAGGTCAGAAGCCCTTTGTAACATTTCGTATAAAGCTTATTTTTAAGGTGAGGAGTTGTTAGCCCCATGCCCAACCCCCAAGCTGGAGGACAACCCTTTGCCGGCTGTCCGTGACTGCTTATTCGATATATTCGCAGCTACCCTCCATGTCTGGAGGTTGTCTCCTCCATCCGCAACCCCGTCCAAGGAGTCCCGGCGACTTTGAAAAAAAGATCAAGATATTGAAAAAGCGGCTAAGGCCCAATAAAGTGCTGTACAGCCACAGATAGGTAGGTATAAATACAAAGTTCCTCGCTGTGTAGTTTCTCGGCGCTCTTGCTGCTTCTCCCTCCCTCTCTTTACCTCAAGTCAAGACGTTTTCCTTTGTGCTCCATTCTGAAAAATGTTCAATCTATGTTCTTCCTTTAAGGCAAAAGATGACGATATCTGTAATACATCTATTCTGCTGAAGTAGAAAAATTGTCGATAAATCCGGATTAAGTAAGATTTCAGGTTTTCACGGAGTTGACTATGAAGAATTCCGTCTTTTGGGATATGGCGCCGTGTAGATCTTGTGTGAACTGACGTTTCGCAACCAAGTATCATCTCCATTTTCACGGAGTTTTCTACCCTGAAAATGGAGGCGATACGGTCCCAAAAATGTCAGTTCTCACAAGATCTATAGGGTGCACATCCCAGAAGATGCCAGTCTCCAATCCGGATTAAATTAGGAAAAGGTGACTGACGAAGTAAGAAAACGTCACATTCATTTGGCCGCATCTATTGATGTGATTCGGCCCGCGCCATAGCTCAAGCGGTTAGTCGCTGGCTTCCCACCGCAGCGGCCCGGGTACAATCCCGGGTCTGGTCAAGTGGGATTTGTGGTGGACAAAGGGGCGCTGGGGCATGTTTTCTTCGAGTACTTCGGTTCCCCCTACCAATCTCCATTCCACCAATTGTTCCACAATCACCCTCACCTATCATCTGGGGCTGGTACAATAGGCCAGAAGTGGCCGCAGTACGAGGGACTTAGTCCCACCCCACTAGCAATAAAAAGCAAATTGATGTGATTCAGAAGAAAACCGAGGGTTAAGTCGGCTTAGGAGACAAAACACAAACCTTTCGCCCAATATTCAGTAATGGCGAGCGACTTCTATCCATTCTATGTTAATCAGCATTTATAGCGTTCGGTCTACATCCCTTACTTCCTTACTTACTTACTTATAGAGCTCAGCCCTTCTTGAGGAGCCGCCAATTCTGCAGCTACTCAAGAATTTCCCAGCATTTTATGGAACCCGAAGGTTTATTAACGTGTTCGCAAGAGCCCTCCACTGGTCCATATCCTGAGCCAGATCAATCCAATCCAAACCATCCCATCCTATCTCTCTAAGATCCATTTTAATATTCTTCACACTCCTACGTCTTGGTCTTCCTAGTGGTCTCTTTCCTTCTGGATTTCCCACCAATATCCTGCATGCATTCCTCGTCTCCTCCATTCGTGCTACATGTCCTGCCCATCTCATACTCCTTGACTTGTTCATTCTAATTATACTTGGAGAAGAGTACAAGTTATGAAGCTCCTCATTATGCAGTTTTCTCCAACCTCCAGTCACTTCATCTCTCTTCGGTCCAAATATTCTCAACACCCTGTTCTCAAACACCATCATTCTATGTTCCTCCCTTAATGTCAGAGACAAAATTTCACGCTCATACAGAACCACAGGCAAAATTATAGTTTTGTATATTCTAATTTGCATGTTTTTGGACAGCAGACGAGAAGACAAAAGGTTCTGGACTGAATGGCAGCAAGCATTACCCGAGTTCAATCTCTTCTTAATTTCCTCCCGAATCAGGTTTCGATCTGTTATTGTTGTTCCCAAATATCCGAATTGTGCCACATTTTCAGAAGATCTGTTTCCTATCTTTATGTCACGATTTTGCCCTGCATTTTGGTGACGAGACAGAAAATATTTACTCGTAGTTTTCTCTGCGTTTACTTCTAGACCAACTTCTTTACTTGCGTCCATTAAAGTTTGTGTGTTTTCCTTTATGGTATCTACATTATCACCCAGTAGATTCACGTCACCAGCATATGCGAACAGCTGATGTGTCCCGTTTAATTTCAGTCTCGCCTGGTTTCCCTGGACCTTCGTAATGGCATATTCTAAAGCAAAGTTGAAAAGGAGTGGCGATAAAGCATCTCCTTCTACATCCCTTAGGAGAAGAATTAGATGCAAGATTTAGAGAAGTGAGGCAAGGGAAAACTTTTTCAGAATTCAGGATTAATACAGAAATATGCTGGAGCATACGCATTGGGCTTCTGCCAGGATATTACAAACCAGCATTTGCATATTTGCATTTCGTCTGCATAACGTCCTGTTGAAACTGTGCGGAATTACAGGATATCGCAATATATGCACAGAGACACAGTTCCAAATTATAATACTAAAGGGAAGCATTGAAGTAAAAGCCCCAGTTGTGTGCTACATGAACTTTCACGTCTCATAGACTTAAATTGTAGACTAGAAATGCATGCGTTTTCGTACGGGTTCTTGTATAATAAACTTATTCAAGTAAAGATATTATTTATCGAATATTATAATCTTCTGAATTCAAGTTCCTGATGACCAATTTCATATTGTTCTCCGCTGTGTCATCGAATAGTGGTAAAGGTAAAAATATATTCGGGAACCTGAGTTCCCAGGATTAACACTGAGAACGTTATTAAATTGGGCAATTGAGCAACAGTTCTCAGCCGGAGGGCCGCAGCCCACTAGTTCATGTGCGTGCAGCTTTTGACAAGTGAACTGCCAAGCGTTGAACAAACGAATGATTATATAAAATAAGCTATGCTGTTGCATGCACTTTTTAAATTGATGTTTGTAGCAAAATTACGCACTTCTGTTTTATGACAATGCCATATTATTATATATAATGAATGACATATTAAAGAAAACTGAAGCTCTTTTACTACAAATTTTAGTTCCGTGCCCCAATTCACGTGCTACGCTCCTAATTTCGATGCGAGGACCAAGGGGCTGAGAAACACAGTCAGAAGCCTCGAGCCTTGCAACGTTCTCATGTTGAAAGGCTGCTCCAATAAGCAAGTCTGGGGCGGAAGCAGAATATTGTGGGTTTCCACTGGGGCGAAGAATTAGGGTGCAAAGGGTTGTAAAGGATACGGCGGGGTAGGTCGAGATAAGACAGGCGCGTGCAGACTCAGCAGGAAGTCCGCTCGTTTCCCTGCGCACGAGCGAACCTTAATCAGCATTCAATCGCGTCTCCTCGCCAACACAGTACGCGCATATGCTCTTATATAAACATTTCAAGTTCACTTCAATTATAACTCTGCCCCTGTCTCTGGTTTTAGTCATTGTTGTTATCCTGTCTGCTTCTCAGAAGTACTAACAAAAGGGACGTGTTCCTTCCTATTCATGCCTCCCAAGTATTGTACGCTCCATGTTACTTTAATCTCGACACAACTGGC